TTTTTAATGTATAAAAAAAGATTTAAATTTATCAGCCGCCGAGATTTTTCTTTCTTAACATCAAAACTCCATTTTCAGATAAAAAGACAAAATTAAATTAAATATCGTACGCACAATGGCTAAATTGGTTGATGGGAAATATGAAAAGAAAGATAAAAAAGAAGAAAAACAAAAGGATCAAGAGAAGAAAAAAGAGAGAAAAAAGCAAAAGGAAGAAATAAGGAAATGCTGTAACATAAATTATTTTGGCTGAAGCTTACAGCAGACTTGAGCTTGGGTGTAAGAGTCGGAGTGCACCAGAGAAGTGGTGACGGTTTTAGCTCCACCCTCCATTCCACCTGCACCGGTATTAGTATGTTACAGTTCCCATAAAAACGTGGTAAAATGTACAAACGCATTGATCAGTACAACACATCAACTATTAGACTGCATTTATTATTTACTCAATCAGTCGGCTAAGAAGGATTAATTTTCTTTTTAAGATAAAGTTAAGCAATATTAGGCCAATTTTAATGTGATTGTTTTGCACAAACTATATATAATAATTCGTAATTCAAAGTAAAAACGATTACGACACTCAGTTGTGTATTTTTGCAGCTTTACTTTTCAGATGAATCGAAAATTATAACATTTTTCACCATTATTCTTCCTATAATAATTAAAATCTCGCTCTGATTTTTTAATGCTTGTGTCATAGAAATTGAAGTTCTTGAAAATTAATACATTGAAATTCAACAATGCAAAAAAGATCACAATACTGTATAAAAAATCTCGTACAGGTTGTGCACTTTTTTTTATAAATCCGCTTTGTCTAAAGGATCCTACATGCTGACAGAACATAACGATATCACATCGAGGGACATACCGATACTGGAGAATGACTCGGAATGTGCCAAGTTGAGCCTTGTTGAATTGTCTATTAGCTGACTCTTTATAACTTGGTTATCTACATTAGAAAGTGTCTCTACTTCAATGACCAAGCTGCTGTCGCAGGAAGGACACTTGATTTTTGTACCTGAAAAAAAAAAACCATCATTTTCACTCAATCCTCTCCTATCAAAAATATCTCGTCATAAACCATAAAACAAACTTGTCATCGATTTAATAGTGAGTGCCACATATAATTCTGGATCCTGTGAGAATTGTGTTGAACATTTCATGCACTTGAAAATCTTGAACAGTATTGGCCGCATTTCAATTTGCTCGCTAATTGTTGTTACAATTTTCTAAAAAAAGCATTATATTGTAAACTCCAAAATCGTATTTAAATGTTTCCCAGTACCTTTGCATCATCTAGTTGTGCAAAATATCGCCTACTTTCCTTATCTTTCCTAATAGTGTCAAAAATAATGTCAACTGTAGGTGGATCGCTTCTACCTAAGACGCAAGACAATAAGGAATTTGTCGACCAACAAAATTTTATTTTTCCAGTAATTGCATCTCTTTCTTTAATATCTCTGCAAATATTATCACAAAAGTTTTATCTTAATAATAATATATTACGAAATGTACATATTTAATTGAAAATTGCTTTCGACAATCTGCCATCTTTGCTTTTTCTTGTAAATAATTAAATTAAAAACGTTTGAATCTAATGCAATTTTAATTGTGTTATAATTATTTGCAGTGAAACAATAACTTACTCGGAAGTTATTACCAGAAAGACATTCTCCATCTCGTTCTCATTGTTTCTTTTTTGAATAATATACAAGTCTCCAACCTCTATAAAAAAAAATATCAACTTGTGCGCAATGTAAATATATTATTTAATACATTATACGTAAATTTTACCTTCATTAGGATCGTATGCAATCATAGAAGCAGTGCATATCTTCGGAAGATCGTCCAAGGTCTTATTTTGAGGAAGTTTTTTATCGTCTTCTATGTATTCTGCAATTTCTTGCGATTCATTAGATGATTTTTCGTTATCCATTGCGTAAATGAGAGTATCGTGAAGAAACGATGATGTATTAATATTAGTCAAAGTCCTTATTTTAGATATTTGCGATTCTGAAGATTCTGATGAAGCAGGATGAAGACCCATAATGTGCTGGACAGAAGTTCCCGCGTGACTGCTCAACCAATTATTTTCGCCAAATTTTTCTCGTAGATCTAAGATACGTTTCTTTATTTCCAAGTAATCCTTTGATGACTCTGAAACAATGAACAAATTAATATAGAATATTACAAGAAAGATACATTATTCTATTGCTACACTACCAGTTATTATATACAGTACTGTTCCATTTTATTAGACACCAATTTATTAGACACAATATGCCTTTCACTCTATTGTATATATGTTATTTATTTAAAAAATCTTACCTAAATGAGAAGACGATGCTACCACATCAGGCAATTTCTTAAATTCTCTTTTTTCCTGATCAATTTCATCAATGATTGCTTCTTTGACATTTGGTCTTCTTTTACTCCTTGTTACACTTTTTTCTAGATTCTTAGATAACAATATTGTTCGATGATCTAATCTGTCTTGGTCGAATTCATGTGTATCAGCATATACAGATATTGAGCTGGTCAGAGATGTAGTAGATTGATTCGTAGGTATTGCAAAGATTCGATTTTCTGCGACTAGCATTTTTTCCGCATTTGAGAGCGACAGATGATCTAAAACAAACTATAAGAATTTTACTCAGATCTGTGTCATGTAAGTGTATTAGCACTGCTGTTTCGCGCTTAACAATTTTCAATGTCACACAGGGATACCTTGCTATCTGACAAATTCGGATGTAAATATTTAATGGTCAGAATTCGATATTTTGGATGATATGATAAAGGATTTCCTTCCAGGGATAACCACAACAAGGTAGACATCTTTTGCAGTGGCAAGAGAACCAAATGCTCCATTAAACAATTAAATGACAAGTCTAATTCTGTCAAATATTCTAAGCCTTGAAGACCTATTGTACAAATTGATAATGATAACAATAGATGATAATAATTGCTTAAATTATGTAATCATATTCGTTTATTAATAAATTTGAAAGTTATATTTAAATGTAGCAAGAGAATAACTTTAAACTATTTGGAAATTAAATGAAGAGTTATTAGTGCACAGAAAACAACCAACCGCTTAAATTTTCGATATAATTGTTTTTCAACACCAACACTTGTAACGAATGTAATACTGTCTTATTGAATATAGGTATTTGTTCTAATTTATTGTAACCTAGATTCACATATCTCAAGTTTGATAAATATGATATTTCTTTGGCATCGATTATCATATTATGACTCAAATCTAATATCTGAAGCCAAGGTGCCAATTCTAATGATTTATCTAGACATTTGAGAGCGTTATGAGGCAACACCAAGTGTCTCAAGGATGCCCATACGAAACCGACTCCAGCATCACCTCCACATTCAGCTATAGATAGGAATATAAGACAATACAATAACTAATTTCAATGTATATATAATAATTATGTAGGTAGAAAACTGTAATTTCTTTTTATGTATGTTACATCAATAATTTTATAGAATTTTGTAGAATTTTTTTGCATATTTGTTTGTTAAAAGCTATATTGTTATTAATTCTATGATATTCTATATATAATTGAGTTCTCAAATATATATAATATTATCTTTTAAAGACATTATTTCTACAAAGAGAAGATACACGTAGGGTGACTAAGTACACTTTGACAATACATTGATGTGATTCATTGATGCTTATTTAGGTTATAAATATTAATTTATATATAATATATAATTTATATATTAGGTAATATATAAATATTACCTAATAATTGATAAATTGTGGATATCCCTTTCCTGCCGGCACACACAATACTTTCCAACTGACCTCTGACACTCTGTAGACCCTTCAATAATTCAACAGATACCTCTTTCAGTTCTAAATACTTTAAATGTCTAAATTTGGAGATGTCAATAGTAACTTTGATGTCAGATGAACAGTGTATTACTTTCAAACCTATAGTCTTTTGCACAAAATCGTGTAGGAACTTTACATCACGAAATATATCTATCTTGGAACTGTTGCACACGTGAAATGAAGAATTCAAATCTTCGGATTCTGATATAATCAATGAAAATGCTTCGTTAAGATTGTGCAGCAGTTTCGTCGATAAGGAAAGCTTGCTAGAGGCACTCAAGATTTTGTCGCCATTCTGACGAAGAAGTCTCACCAGTTCCATTATTTCCGGCGTATTAACTATGTCTTGCAAGTGACTCATTATTGATACTTACTTATTCACTCTATTATTGACTAATAGTTTTTTATTTTTACTGAGTTATCTAACAAACCAATTCGCACTTTTCCAAAGAATATGCTTCACCATTCATGTTTAACTAAAATGGCAATATAATGCGTCATTAAAATGTTATACGAGATACTTATTGGTTTTAATGATTCATTTATAAATTCAAAAAATGAAAAATTTAAAGTTAGAAAAAGAAAAGAATGAGACTAATAAACTTTATTGGATAAATGTTTGATTCAACTCGTTCATTTTAGAAGAGGATGCAAATGCAAAAATAAATCGTTCGGTTTCTCCTTTTGCAAAAAAAGAAAATAAAGTTTGAAGAGCTAAAGTTATTTCGTTCGGCACTGTGTGTGAAACAACTTAAATGTTACGAGTATAACAGATATTCTAACCTTGAAAGATATTACTTTTAATTTAAAGTAAACACACATAATCCCTTTGCGGGATTGAAGGCACTATATACACACAAAAAATTTTTTTTAAATAGCAGATTACTTTTTCCACACACAGTTCCGATTTGAACTTTCCAAACTTTGTTTTTCGGACAAAGAGATATTGAATAAGCTATATGATATGTGAGCGCGAGAGTAAAATATTTATTAAAATTTCTAAATAGAAATTGTTGACGTAACACAAACCAATAACAATTGAGACATTTATCAACATTTACATCATTTAACGCGCAATATATTATCAAACAATAATATCAAAGGTTAATCTTCTTCTTTTTCTAATTTAATATGGTACTCGCCATCGATGGCACGACGTAAAAAAACAGGTGAACCGTTCCCATGTGCAGTCATCTCAGTGTTGCCAGATGACCTCAATGCAAACCCCCCAAGCCAGCCTACATTTCCCCCTAGATTGGTAATAAAACCCCTAGATTAAAATAATAATCGATTAACATAAAATTTTCTATTGTAAATTTATTCATTGTTCCTTAATGAAATACTTATATCTTAAATAGTTTCTAATACGTAGTTTTCTAATACATTACAATGTAATATCATATCATAACATAATATCATACCTTAGCACGAACACAACCTCAATTTCAACTTACACTGGTTTCCACTGACTTCAAAGACAGTGGAGCAAAAGTTGAACTCAGTGCAAGTTTTTTGCACTAGTTTTATCAATGGAACATTAAACACTGAACTAGTTTTCACAGTGGAACAACACAATTGCACTCAGTGCGCACCAGTGTTGCACTAGTTTTCCCAGTGGAAAACGCTTTAAGAAGTAAGAGTAAGAAATTGACCAATCACAGTCGAACGTGAGAAGAATAATCGACTGTGATTGGTCAATTTCTTACTCTTACTTCTTACTCTGTGTATTGTAGACGGGCCTTAAGTAATGTCTTAAAACACTAATGCAGCCTTCTGATTGGTTCGAGACTTCTTGAGACCGTACTTAAGACGGTCTTGAATATAAGACCTGACTATGAATACCGGCCTTATGAAATGATTTTATTCGAACAACGTATGTACTTAATTTAATTTTACATGAAGTATAATAAATATGTATTCTTCTAATTTTATTAAGTATGTATTCTTATAACTTTGTAGAAATAGGGCCTGCGCACAATAGAGGAACAAGAATTAGATATTAAGATTTCAACCTATCAGAAACCGTGTATTCCGATGTAATCAGTTTCTGATAGGTTAAAATCTTAATATCTCAAGGCCCGTTTACAATACACGGAGTAAAAAGTAAGAGTAAGAAATTGACCAATCACAGTCGATTATTTTTTTCACATTCAACTGTGATTGGTCAATTTCTTACTCTTACTTCTTACTCCGTGTATTGTAGAAGGGCCTTAATTCTTGTTCCTCTATTGTGCGTAGGCCCTTAGCATTCTATGAGGGAGGATCCCGTTTGCCTACAGTTCTGATTGTACACACCACTCATATCAACTGGTGCCTAGTAATTTTTTACTGTTTTGCCAATGAGATTATTTTATTTTTAAATTGGCCAATCAGCGATACATGTATGCAATATGCGATGTGTGCAATCGGAGCCCTCCCATTCTATGAATGCATCTAATATTTTTTCTACAAAGTTAGAAGAATACATAGTTTCCGAATTAAATTTATTCAGCATATCTTCAGTGGGTTCAAAAGCGATACAGCCATTTGGTAAATTACTTCTGATGCGCAAAATAGTATCTGCAGTTTCTACTGACATTCTATTTCGTAACTTATCTTTAATGATATTAATAATTGAGAATGTTCGCTCAACGCTCGCATTAGAAAAAGGTAAACTCATTAAAGCTAAAACTAGTTTGGATATATGTCCAAATCTTTTGTGTCCGCCTGCGTTAACAATTTTATTAATTTGCTTCTTGCACCAGTTGCACCAATCTCCACTGGTTAAGCTGATCGACGTAAGAGTACGTATACACATATCAGGAAACAGAGCGTCAATCCTAATGCTGGATTCACACTGCATCCGATTTGCGTCGTACGACGCTCTGCAACCAATCAGAAAACAGGATTTCGATGGATTTTGCTTCGTATCATCGGA